GTGCCCTAGGCCCACTGACCAAATGGACAACCTAGACTTTGTTTCGCAATTGCCGCCCAAATCTTCGTGCAGTGTAAGCGTTGCATAGTGAACTCAACCACATGCCTGCAACTGTTGCTACGGCTCTGACGACCGGCTTTCCCATCCTCCCCTTTCGTTGCTTTCAGGTGGTTACTTTCAGTATTCCCAGTCGGTGGTTGCCTTAGGACTCAGATTGGAGCAGAGGAAGGCAAGGCGCCAAGGCCAGATCTGAGAGGCGCCTGCGGCACGTCCGTGGAGCCACGTCCTCAAAACATGGCGATTGATGAAGGCTAGTAAGGGGCAGTCCCAGCCAGAAATAGTTGCCGACATCCGCCTTCTTAATTCTTTACATGGTTCTGGGTAGACCATTTTAATACCGGGTTTTGATTGTGACTCACGTTGGCCAAACTGCGTCCCCAAAGAAGCTCTCTTTGAGAATGACAGCTACGAAAGGAGCTGCAGGAGCTGATGGGTCACGGTCTCCCTCAATAGATTAAAACATGTTCGCGCTGCTTCGACTTTCCGATATGCAAAGTCACTTTGCATTCAATCATTTATTGCACAAGGGTGTTCCCAGAACATGTACGTAGAAGCTGCTCAATGTAAAGACTCACAGAGAACTGCCGAACTGCGCACAATTTTTCGCGGTTGTGTCTTTGTGGCCAGCTAGAAAGACATGGAAATGACTGGCAAAGCAGATGGAAAGCAGCAGTTGTCAAATTGTGCGGAGGGACTTCCGAGGGTACCGGCGTCGAGTGTTGTCAAAACCAGGAAAGTGTGCATTCAGACAGCTGATTCTGTCTAGTTTCAGCGCGAGACATGGGAAACAAACTGCAAAACGCGTGAAAACTTGCTTTTCAAGTCCATAGGATTTTGAGACCGCGCAAGGCTCTGCGAGAGCAGTTCGTCCCAGCTGGCATAGGAAGTTTGTGGGAGAGCGCTGTTGAAGCCCGCTTTGCCGCCAAAAGCCGGGCTGTGAGTCAGCTGATTTTGCTTCCGAGGTGATGTTTCTTCTCGAGGCACCAGGATTTGCTGTCTCTCTTCTGGTGGAGCTGGGAGAATGCCTTGTCTTGAGAGAAAGCTGGGAGTTGCTCCTTCAGCATGCTTCTAACTCGGGCATGCCAACGCGTCACCCGCAGTAGTCAGCTCTTGGGCAAATGGAGAGATGTCAACGGGCCAATGTCTTCACAAGTTTATGATGCGCAGGTGTTGGGTTGTACTCGCTACTTGTCAATTCTCCATGTGGCTTGGGTCAACACCAATGGTACCCTTTTTGGGATAGGTGAATTCACCACCCATTTTAGAACCTATTTTAGTGCGGATTGAATCGGATGTTCACTGGGGGTACGGAATTTTGGCTTTTGACCCATGGCCATGTCACTATCCCTTGTCGATGTTGCTTGTCAAAGCCCCTTGCCAACCTTTATTGGCGATCTTTCGGACTTGCAAGCAAAGTGGCGCTGGATTGAATCCAGGAATTATATGTTTGCTCAAGTGCGGTCGTGCTAGTTTACCATGGCCCCTGTTTTGAGCGTATCAAGACTTCGGGGACCAAAGCGAGCGGAGGTTCTGAAAGTGAGGCAAACCAGCATTCTCTCTGAATTCAAATTTGAATCGAGCATGACCTGCGGAATTCTGCAGCTACCTTTTGGGCTTGTTTAACTGGCCATCGAGGCGGCCAACTTAGCCCGCAGCTTGGGCTCGGCACGGTCTGAGTGGAAGCGAGAAGCTTCCCTTTTCGCCTGGCACAGCGGACAAACCGTTTGATGCCGATGGCGGCTGACTGCTAGGCCCAGCTGCAGCTTGATATTCTTCTGCGTTCTTCTGGCTGAGTCAGAGAATCAGCCGCAACCAGCCATGCTGTCCGCCAGGAGCTAGCAACATGTTCGCGGAAAGCAATTTCGGCAAAGCGCGGCTGTTGGTCGGCGCAACTTAGATCCTGTTTGAGAGCATCATTCGACTCCGCACTTAGGTTGTCTCGAGTCATTTGGTTGTTCAAAACAAACATGTTTTTCCACCGGTACATCTGCCAACCGATGGCTTTGTTTGAAACAACTTACGAAGTTGCTTCAAACTTGTCGGGATACTCATCGAAGTGTTTAAACAAATCAAACTAGGGAAAGGTGCAGAATGGGGTGGGCTTGGATGCAAGCTGACATATTCGTCCATTTAACCGCGCACACACACACGCATACAAATACACATGCACAAGAACCATGTTTCACTCGGACAGTGCACCATCCCAATTCCATTATGATGTCATATCAAGTGTGTGTGTGTGTGTGTCACGCCAGTGAAGGAGCAACCAAGATGCTCACATCATTTAGTCCAGAACTGTATTTCTGCATAATTTAGAGTTAGCACACAGGATCACACAACATGACAGAGATTCGCTAGTGTTCCACTTGGTCCTGCGCAATCATGCACCTTGCAAAGGTCCCAGAGCGTGAAGAGTCTGCGAAGGCTTGTTGGAGGCATGCTTACATATTTGCAGGCCCAAGTCCCTTGTAGACAGGGGATGTGCAGCACCTTTACTTGTATCCTGACTTTCTGCTGTCCAAAACCAAAACGTTGGCTGGGCCATTTTGGAGCCAGGTTTGCTGAAAATCCGCCAAAGACCACCAGGGAGCTTGTTGCACATTGGGTCCAGGACGGAGAAAAGGGCGAATGATAGTGACTGCTTTCATTCAACGCTGCTGCAAGCCCGCAAATACAAGGCGCAGCAAGCGTCACTGCAGCAGCAAGAACGGCTCCAGAGCGCAAGTGCGGCGATGGATTTGCCAATGCTCATGATTTCTTTTCCTTCGCGAAGATTGCGTTTTCCGGAGGCAAGAATCTAAGAATCTCTACGAACGGAGTGTTTGCAGAAGTGCTCCTAACACCTCATGCAATACGCCCATTCCAAAGTCTGGGATGATCACCAAGAAGCAAGCTTGCCAAAAGTATGGTTCTCCTACCCTGACGGAGTGATAGATCTGCTACAGAGCGCCTCGCTATTGGTTTCGAATTAGCATCAACAATCCTATTGAGAATTGAAGCGCCGTTGCTTGGCAATGTACCCTAAACGGTAGCCCTGTGACAAATCACATGTCCGGTGCCCGATTTGCAGGAGTTGCTGTTGCCGGCGTGGACGCTGATGACATGAATATTGGTGGCCGCGATGCTGTGCTTAGGATGACGGTGACGATGAAGACATGGAGAGAACAGAGACGATGCTAATGAGTTGTTCTCAATCTTGATGATGTTACTCCCAAAGAAACAGTGAGTGCGAGCAACTTGCGCAAGTTCTGGTCCTGTCAGAACCCTTGGGCTCTGCGTCACTCTGGGAAGGTTGTTGGGGTCTGCGCGTGTCGCGCAATTCGAGCCTTTGATGGTGCAAAACGGCCACGCCCTGTCATCCCAACGGTCCTAACGCATTGCACAAAAGTTCATGGGGCACGCAAGACTTTGCGAGCTTGTCCCGAAGTCGACTTTTGCTGCGCATGTGTGCTGCCCAGTGAGCACCCCACATCCACACCGAGAACACCAACAAGGAATCCACTGTCCGTGCTTGAGGAATGTTTCTCCAGAACCAACGAATGCAAGGAAAGCAGCCATTTGGTTCCAGGCAAAGTCTATGTTCTGATTGTTCAGTTTGCGCGCATGTTTGGTATGAGTGGCCGCATGTTGACGCACCAACATCCGTGCTTGTGTCAGATGTGAGTTCACATTTGATGATATGACTCTGGTGATTCTAGATAGTATACTCAGAGATGGCACAGGCCACGCTGCATTGAAAGGGACCATGATACAGCGAGGGAGTGACGTTGCGAAAGTACTACAGTACATGCAGTTTTGCTTGCCATGAAACAGCCTGATCCTGGAATAAGACGCTTCACTTGTACTTGATGAGTCAACAAAAGATGTTTGGCCATCACAGTATACGCAGTGATTTTGGTCTTTGGAGTCTCTTTTGAGGCAACGGTCTATAAACTCTCCTGAAAGCTCCCGATCTTGTCGACCCCAAGCAAGGCCTGACTCAGTCAAAGTCGATTGATGATTCATTTTGTTCTTTGCGGCATCTGGCCATGGGTCAAAATCCAAATCGAAGCCCCAGTGAACATCCGATTCAATCCAACCACTAAAATAGGTTCTAAAATGTGTGGTGAATACACCAATCCCCGAAAAGGTTTTGAGCACCACAGCCATTTCTCAGCTCTCTGGAGGCTGCACTCGGCGCTGACCAAAAGCCAAGGTTCAGTCAAGGGCAGACCGCCAGGAAGGAGCCAAACTGTCCATTGACTCAATTGGCTGTGGGTCAACATTACGCAGGAGGGGCAAACCGCAAGGTTTGGTCCATGTTTCCACTTACCAGGGCAACCCATTTTGGAATTCCGCTTGTTTGAGCCACAGCCATTTTCGTCGACCTAGGTTTGGCCGGTCTGGCTGACCATCAGCACTGACTGGCTTTGGTTGGCGGCTCTGTTATGAGCGTTCAATCTCAAACCATTCGACCTGCTTTGCACTGGATCCTGGCCTGCCAAATGTTGGCTGGCAGAAGGAGCAGTACGTTTTCAGTGAGGGAAGGCCCACAAGGGCCCACAATGCAGCTCTGCAGCATCGCCACGCCATGCCTCGGGAGCAAACCGGAAAAACAATCACGGCGAGCATGTGACCCACAGAATGAGCCGGGGATTTGGTTTGTCGCACGGCCGCAAGGCAGCGGCAGCTTCCCGGGCGCCACATTGTTGCCATGTGACCGAACTTGCTTGGTGCGCAACCGTCAAATCCGGCTGAAGAGCGAGAGCTCTCGCTGTCAAATTGTCAAATCATTTCTCGCTTCCTGAGTTCCTCTAAAACTTGTAGGGAAGACCAACTTAGTGGTAAACAAAGAGTTTAGACTTTTTCTGGCCAATCCACTCGATCGGAAGTGAGATTTGCATTGAGCACGGACACACTTTTCAGACACGGCACATTCTCAGAAAAATCCCCCGGCCCAGGTCATGGATCCGAAAGGCTATCTCACTGACTTGAACGCCTTGCAGGCTGCAAGCTGCACCGGCTGGGCTCCGCACGTGGTCACGCTCGGGGAAACGAAGACGTCTTTGTCGCTAGGCATGCGGTTGCATGCCTCTGGTCGGGTGGATTTTTGATCACTTGAAGATGTTTTTTCTATCTGTGAGGAGAGTGAACTGTTGATTGTGTGGCACGAGTAAGAAGTCGAAGCGCGGACATTTGGATGCATTGTTCTGCCCTCGTGGTCAGTCCACTGGGCCTCCATAAAGTTGGCGGCTTTTTGTAGAACGATTAGGAATGCGTTATTTGGCACATTGCAAAAACAACAGTACTCAAGTAGATTGTCGGTACGCCTTGTTTAGTTTGTTGCCTGTTGCCACTTGCTCAGAACCAGCTATAGGCTTGGATGCGGAGAAGCATGCATCCCTTTTGGATCGACCAAGCCAGTTTGCAGATACGGATTTACACAATGATTGCCATACATTGTCGTCAATCCCCTTGCACAGACCGACTGTTCAGGCAATCCTTGTGGATCAAACAGAGTCAGCTTGTCAGGTCCAGTCCGATGCGGACATTAGCGACATCAAGAAGGCACGGGACTTGGTTTTGAGCAAGTCAGCGAGCACTCTATCCAATAGATCACGGGGACGCCTGGATCACGCAACTCTTTTAGACACCCAGCTTGAGTTGAGTGCAGGAAATGGTATATACCCAACCCTAGCTGCCAGGCTATGGATGCGATACTGTTGATTTGCCAAACCGATTTGTGCATATGGGCAGGATCATTGTGACATCGCTGCTTCATGGACTGGCAGCCAACACAAAGTTAGCAGCAGCAAAGCAGGCTTGTTTCGCTGGAGGCTTGGTGAAGCATCTGGCCTTGTCCTCCATGTGTTTGATGGATTAACAGTGCTGTTAAAGCTTGGCAGCGTGGGCTTCACCTTCCACGCCTTATGAGCATGAAGTCTGAGCGGTCACTGCAATGGATGGTTCCAAATCTATTTGCGCCGCTGACGGGCCAAGTTTCGAAGGACTGCAAAGGACTGAGCTTGGGATACAAGCTTTCTTTTTGGGCAAGTAGTTGCCACCATCCGGAATGCAACACAGAAGGCTTGCACGCAACTCCGTGTGAACCAAACAGGCTCAAGACAAAGAGGCGTGTGGCAAAGCACCCTTTTCCTATCAGCCGAAGGTTGCCCAAAGTTTTCTTTTTTTATAGCTGGCACAGTTGACTGCGTTTTCCGCTGCTTGGGCAATAGTCAAATGATTTTCTTCTTTGCTTTGCTTGCTAGAGCGCCAATGGACAAATCCTGCCATCGACGCAAACTGCAGGCACGAACGCTGCTGAAGAGTGTCATCACCAGCAATCCGAAGCACGGGCCCGGCCAGAATCTTGGAGTCGTGAGCGAAAGGGCCACCTTCAAATGAGCATACAGTGGCCTTCGGACCGAAGAAGAGATCATCGAACGTGTTTTTTTCAGGGGCTTTTGCCTGCAGCCCAGAGAGAGCGGCATTTCATCGCTGGTTTCAATTGCAAGGCGCCTTCAAATTATCAAATGGGTATGGCTCAAAATTAAAGAGCTGGGGTTACGCGGGTTGTAGTCTTTGGTTCCATTTGCCAAGGTGTCATTTTGGTACCAGTTTTTTGAGCCATTTCAAATAAGTGCCATCCAGCATTTGAGTCGTAAACATATTTTTTCACAAATCAATTTGTATTGTTCAGAGGTTCCAGGACTCAGGCTGCTACATGCCTGTCCCCACTATGTTGTTGAATCCTTAGACTAATGCCTGGGAGCCTGTTGAAGTTCTGACCTCAAATCGTCAAGGGTGTCTACTCCGCTTAGCATGCTGCGGGTTCTGCCGCCGAGGGATGCGCCTGAGCGCATTTGAGACAGGACATGAAGCTGGTTGACGCACTGCCGTGAGCCGCCAGCAATGAGAAAAACACGCAAAGACAAAGAGCAGATCATGCCCTCTGCTTGGAATGCAAGGATGGAAACAGTCAGTGTGGTCGGAGACTTGGCCTGAGTTATTTGCATGCCCGAATTGGCAGATCTTGGTCTCATTTGGCTGTGGGTCAAAGCCTATGGCTCCATTTTGGGGTAGGTGCACCACCATTTAGAACCTATTTTAGTGGGGATTGAATCGGATGTTCACTGGGCGTACGATTTGGCTTTTGACAACCACAGCCATTTGGCAACTTGTTCCCTGCCCTGAAGGCAAGACAAGCAATAGCAAGACGCGACCCGAGCGTGGCAGCGCATGTAATGCAGCCATGCGCCGCTGCTGGGCTGCAGCTGCTGCTGTGCTGCTCTATGGTTGGGCAGCATGGCGGGTGAGACACAATGGTGTCCTTTTTGGTTGGCTTGCTAGAAAAAATAGATGGCGATTCCTGGTTTACCTGGTGGTTCAATCATCTGCCAGGGCCATCTATTTCCCCTAAAAGGACACTCATGGTGTGAGAGCTGCGAACGGGGCGGACCATGCAACATGTCGGTGTGTTGTTGGCAGACTACTCGCAGCTTACAAGTCTTTTGAGCATGAGGGTAAGCAAAAAATGCGCCCAAGTGTAGGAGCCTAGAGCATTTTGAGCACAAACTGACTAGCCTGTCTGGACAGGCTCTGGAGTTCAGCTGAACTAAATTTAATTATTGCTAACAAAATGAACAAAGTGAAAGCAAAGTCGGCTCTGTTTGCCAAACTTCGGCACTGTGCTGAGCCTTTTGGAATGCACTTATTGCAGGGCAGCAGAATCGATTCCACCTCCCGAAACGAGCATCTCGTTTCGCGGCGTCTGAAGCCGCGACCGCATGCATGCCAGCTTGGCGCGGATTTGGACCGTGATGCGAGAACTTCTGGTGGTTCATTTCTTTGATTCCACGACAGCTCCATCCTGAGAAACCAAGGCGCTGCAACCTCGTCAATCTACTGAGGGCATTTGTCCTTCTCAAGTTGCCAACCATCATGAGATCAGATATCATTGACTACCTGCAAAGACGGATACTAAGATCGGATCATTCGTAGTACGCAATCAGCTTTGTTCACTAACACGTCATCGCATGTGTAAGAAAGATAGCCCCAGACCACAACATTTGAGCTCTGATGACTTCTTCAAGTTTGCAGACATCTCTCAAGATGACCACATTGGCTTCTTCTGGAGGATTTAGTCTCCCCATGTCTCAACAAATGATGAAGGCAAGCAGCGCCCCAAGGGTACAGCCGCCAGCTCTTGTCAAATGTGCCTGCCTTTAGTGTTGTGACTTGGACAGGTTTGGGATACGCTTAGCTGAGGCTACTCATATCCATGTTTTCGCCGACATAGAAGGGGTGAGGCGTTTCTGTGTTTTGAGAGGTGAACGCATTGCTTTGATATTGTTGATGAAATGATGTTTTAGTGATTCAATGCTTTTGAACTTCGAGGCTTGTAAGCTTTGATGGCTTTCCATCTAAGCAAGAACATATACGGGTGCAAGGTGGCATCAGGGTGCTGGGCGCTGAATGTGGTACGAGTTCCGACCTTCAGGACAGAACCTATGCAATGACGCATCAGTGCTCTAACTCCAAAAAACAAGAGTCCGACAGAAAGCGCTACACACTGCCTTTGGAGGTAGTAAATTTAGTTTCCGTGTGTTGGCGTTTTGGACTGTGCGGGTGTAGTTTGGTGGACATGTTGGAGGGTTCTTACTTGATACTCTCTTGAGGAACTGGGAAATCAGATGTCGTGTCTTGGTTGAGAGTGTACTGTGTTGCAGCTATTTCTATTCAGTTCTGCATTTGGTTGCCTGAACGCGTGCCTGATCTGACAGGTTGTCTCTACGTCTCAGCGGATTTCTGGTCTGATTGCTTTTCTATGTTTGGGCTATGTTGGCCGTGCTAGAGTATCTCTGCCAGCCTCTACATTTTGAAGTCCTGGAGTGGTGGACACGTTGCCAGTGCCACAGTCTCAAGACAAAGTTTGCACGAATGCAAGTATCACTGAATCCTGGAGCAGCGGTACATTGCAATGGAGGGTTCGTTGGGAAGCGACTAACTGACTTTCGCAAGTTTGTTTCGGGCCATGGACAGGTCGATTGCTAGAGGACTTGTTGATACACTCACAAGCCTTCTCGTCATCGGCGCAAGTGCAACCCCCTTCCTTATTCTGCTCTACATTCTGATTGACACTTGTTCAAGACAAAACTCTTCTGCAAAGACCCTGATGACGTTCTACCTGAAGAATCGCACAAACGCATTTGTACGAGAAGGCACAAACTTCGAACATGAGCAGCAGCAGACAGGAGGACTGGAAACAAGCAACTTTGATTCAAGCCCAGCTACAGGAAACAGGCTTAGCACAGTAGAATGGCGAGACTCCTTAGAGGCAGAAGATTTCAAAACTCTCGGGAGCAGGCAAACATTCCAACAAAGCACGTGTTTCGCGTAGGAATTGACTCTACGTCAAGAACGCAGGCTGAAAGTCCAATTTCGAAAGCCGAACTGTAAAATTCAGCATACATTGCCGGTATTAATGTTTTGTCAAGCTGTTAGCAGTAACTCTGAGTGGGTTGCGTGGCACAGCTCTATGTATTCAAGTTTCTTCGCTTCGTTATTCAACAACATTCTAGCGGTTGGATTCCCCACTCTTTTCAACTATCGTTCTTTTCAAAAAGCAGCTGTTTCTCTAGGGTTTTGGGTGGTTTTTCAGAAAGAAGGATGCCTGGAAAGAATGGGGAAGGTACCCCTAGAAACATGCCAATGTTGCATCGGGTTGCCACGAGACGGAGCTTCACCTTAAATGCAGCTTTCCTTGCCCTCTCCTTTGCTGAGCCGATCCATGTCTTAGCTCTCTGCTCGCCTCGTCTCATACAGAAAAAGTCTGCAAGCTTGGAGGCCACTTGGCGCCGAAAAAAACTGGAGAAGATTCGTCTCTTGTACGAATACCCTTAATATGGAAGTGCACCGACCCCTCTAGAAAGACTTCTTTCCTCTCTCAGGGCCTTTTTGCACTTCCATGTTAGTTGGTGGGAGGGTAGATGAATGCAGAGAGAGCCTTGTCTACATAAAGTCACGGATGTTTGAGAGGCCTGCACGTCTCTTTTGAGCCTCGGCTGAGGCCTTCGCACGGGTGCGGAAGCTCACGCCGCAGCAGCTGACTGGGCGCCTGAAGTCAGCGCAGACGCCCAACCATTTGCTCTTCATGGCCGCTTAAGCCGGCAAAACCAACCTGCATGTTTCAACGGTGGGCTTGGGGCCGGGAAAACTAATCATGTCCACTGCTCTTAGCGAGCGGTGCGAGCCCGCCGTAGACAGATTGAGCTTCTGCTAGCATCGTCGCTTGGAAATGTGTACTGTAGCTGATTCTTGCGAGAAGGAGGCAGAACGTTGATGCGTGGCTCTCAAACTCCAATCACCTGAAAGGTCTGATTGCAGTTTAGTTGTAAGTCACAATTCACAAGGCCTCATATGATTTTTGCCGGTTCGATACGTGCAGGCAAGGCGAGGGTGATATTTTTGGCAGGTCCGCTACGTCCTTGCAACTGAGACAGGCCGTTCACTTGGGCGAGCGATCAACGATTTGCGACTTCAGCATCTCTTGGCATCCCTCAGGTCGAGGACAATGCGAAGGTTCTGAATCAGCCTCCTGCCTGAGCAAATAGCTTTCGTTCGGCCTCTCGAGTACAGAACCCAAGCAGAACCTGGACATCTGTAGCGAAAGGCGCGCAAGAGGACGCCTTCCCCTGAATACTTGGATATTTAGCTTCTTGCTTTGATTTTTGGCCTGGGAACGAAGCAGCAGCCCTGATCAGCTTGACTTGTTCCGCAGCCTGTCAAATGCTTTAAGATCACCATAGGCGCGGATTCTGGCAGAATAGTTCGAAGGTTGCCTCAGCCAGCCTGGCGACTTGTGTCTCAAGGTACCACGTGAGCGCTGCACTCACTTTTCTGGCGAAGGAGAACTACACGCAGGTTGCGCTGAGAGTCTCGGCTGTTTTGCACGCGCGTCCTATAATATGAGCCGCGTTTTCAATATGCGACGTGTGCGTTTGATAAGCTGTGATGCATGTTGCGACAAAGTGGCTTTGCCCGTGTGAAACGGTGGCCCCAAAACGATAACTTGATGTTGCATATGAAACGCAATGCCTCTCATACGCGATGCCGATGCGTGAGTACATTTGCGAACATTTCCGATCTCAGCCACGTTCTTTGTGTGAGCGCACTTGGTTGCGTTGCACACCGGTGTGATTCCTCGGTCGAGCGTGGGATGCCTTCAAAAACATGAGAAGAGACATTGATGCTTGCTGCATTGATATGCAATTTCTTTATCCTGTCACCCTGAGCGGCCCGCGCTCTGATGGTGATTGTGCCGTTGAAGGCAAACATGTCATAGACATAGTCTGCTGGTACTTTCCAAAAACACATGCGCGGCATTTGCGGCAAGTGGCAATACCAAGATTGCAATTGAGTTTAACTCGATTCTATTTTGGGTCATAGCGCAACAAACTGATAAGGTTTTGTAATTGGATCAGATTGGCCGACGTTGGTGTACAATCTATCTAGCTTCTTGGCAGCCTCCATGGTTTTTGCGGACATCTGATGATATGTAGAGTGTGAGGTTCGAAAGCACCTGTGAGATAGAGCGGCAGAACGAACATGGGGTTCTGCCGAAGGCACTTGATATGAACGATGTGCTTTGCCAGAAAAGGGAGCGAACCAGGAAGCACATGCCCCAACCTTCCCCTCGCATTTCTTTGGTAGTACCGCATTCCTGGAAATGGCAATGGGTCAAAAGCCCGTACCCGAAGTGAACATCCCAATCCCCAAAATAGGTTCTAAAATGGGTGGTGAATTCACCTACCCCAAAATGGGATCCCCAAACGGTTTTGACAACCACAGCCACATCACTCAAATTGCCACGAACCAAGAGGAACACATTGCTCTGTGGTGCCCCTGGTGTACCTCAAGTTGATGCAGGAAATGCAACGTGTCCTTCGCTTCAAAAGGCAAAAACCGCATGGAGGTTCCCTATCCGCAAATCCAAAATATCTCCAATAATTTAGCTCCTTTTCATAGACCTGCACATTTCTTTTCTCCACAGGCGTTCTTTTGTGCCAAAAGGACACTTTTGTACCGTATGCAGGTATATCTACATAAAGCCTTGTGCGAGTTAATGAACCGCACGACCCGGGTGGAGTTTCGCTGCTCTCCGAATCGCTCGATCCCGAGCTCGGTTCAGGTGAGGACCCTGGCTTCCGCCTGCTCTTGCGGCGCACTGCGGAGCAGCTCACGACTTTCAGGCGGGAAAGCGCGCGCGAAGTTCCAGGGAAGGAAAGCTTCGCATAGGTGTTCTTTTTGGTTTGGTAGAATAGATGGCGATTCCTGGTTTACGTGGTGGTTTAATCATCTACCAGGGCCATCATTTCTCCTAAAAGGACACCTATGAACCTTCGTGCTCGGCATGCACGTAGCTTGCTGGGGTAACCAGGAGCGTGTGCGATTTTTTCTACATTTGATTCATCGGTGTTTCTCAGTCTCGTGGCATCGGCTCTCGTGGCATCGGCTCGAATAATATGTTGCCTTGCATCTGGACATTGTCTGTGCACTCGCTGCAAACAGCAATCGGATCTGCTTCAAGTGAACCCGAGCAGTGTGCAAGCAAAAGGTTGAATCAATTACCAGGTTGCAGGGCTTGTGGTATGGAAGAAGGATGATTCCGGTCCATAAACGGAAGGGCCAACGCCACCTCAGCTTTCCTTCTCTTGGAGTAAGTGCAATTTGAACAAAGCACACCGTGCCTCACAGGCTCAATCCATCCAAATTTGAATCCCTCCATTGAAACCGTCAAGTTGGGTTTCGGACCTCCAAGAAGCTGCGCGATGCCTTGGTGTTTCTGTGTTGTGACTCAAATTCACCTTGTGAGCTGGCAACCTGCTGATAACCAAATTGTGGATCTACTCATGGGCTCGTCCCCGAGTAGGCCTTTGGCCTGGAAAATTTGCCTCGAATCGTTTGCCTCTCTTTGTTTGCCAATTGGAAAAAATCCGGGACACACGGAATCCATGACCTTGTGTGAACCTAAGCTTCTGTTTGCTTTTTTTTCTCTCTTGGTTTTAAAGGGAGTCTATCACTACTGGACATATTTTTGTTTTTTCCAGGGGCTTAAGCAAATGGAAGTACGACTTAGCATTCGGGACAACTGATCCATCCAGCGCAGGTCCCAGGCGCTGGCGACTGTCCTGTGGTCCCTGGCGAGAGTGCCTCTTAAAGCATTGCATTGGCCTGGCGTCCGCCTTGTCTTTTGATGTTGCTTTATTTATTGTTTTTCATTCTTTCTTTCTTTTTCATTCATTATTGCTTTTTTCTTTCTTTCTTTCTTTCTTTCTTTCTTTCTTTCCCGTTCTGTCTCTCTCTCTTTCTCTCTTTCTCTAGCTTTCTCCTCTTGACTTGCTCGGCATCACTCGTGGCTGTGGGACCGAGTCCGCTTTCGAACGTCTTTCGGGATCGGACCCCGACTCAGGCGACGTGTTTGATGGGTTGCTTTATTTATCTCGTTCGTAACGAACGCTGGTGCACACGAAATACAGTTAAGGAGAGCCTGCGGTCAAGGATTCCATCTAACCCAAGCATGGATCGCTTTGAGAGCGCGCGGCTGTGTGCTTGTGTGTGTGTGTGTGTGAGGCGCGTGACTGTGTGGAGGTTCATATTGGGGACGCATACTGTTGCTCGTTCACAATTCCCAGAACCCATCGGGCTGCCGGGCTGGCTCGGCTGATCATCAAACTGACAACAACACGGCTCGTACATAAATCTTTCTTGATACTGCCATCGCCGTCCTGAATGCATATTAAAAAAGAACGCACACGGCAGCAATGGGCTGAATCTTGGCAGAAACCAGGATGCCACAGTGCCTGCTAATTGGATGGCTATTTCTGTTCATGCACACTTCATGTTGATATATTTTGCACGGCAAGCTATGGATATGTTCGGCCACTGCCTTATTCGAGCAGCGTATGCTTTGATTTGCTTGCTCAAGTGTTTTGTCTGCGAAATGAGACCAGCAAGGTGCCATCCGCAATTTACAGAAATGGTTGGACAACCTACTGTATTGACAAGTCGTCGATTTTATGGCTTGAACTCTTTGCCTTCAAGGTGGAGTATGATCCCGGTGAACCGTTCCTCCATTCTGTCCCTGGCTTAGACTTCGCGTATGCGTGGCCAGCAAATGGCACCAGCCAAGGCTTGCATCCTATGTGTGATCATCTTTGCTCCTCTCAAGTGACCAGAGAATGTTATATCCCTGTTTATTAATATGGGGGTGCTTCTCCCCGGTTTTGGGTTTTTTCCTCCACTTTAGGGGAACACCCTCATGCTAATAAAACAGGGGTTTACTGATCAAAGGGGTCAACACATGCCATGAACGCCATGAGCCACGCGCACGCCATGAGGTGATCCAGGCCTCCCTGGGGCAGCTAGAAACTTCCGCCCCGCAGGAGCTCACACTGGCATGAACCACAAACGGGCGCAAACGGGGGCGGCTCAAAATCAAAGGTTAGGGCAAACCGCAGGTAGTCTTTGGCTCCAGAAAAGCCAAGGTGCCATTTCGGCTCCTTGGAGCCACAGACAAGCAAGCTGTTTGTGAAGACTGTCTCCTGGGCATTTGGACGATGTTTGGGCAGACCTGGGCACTGGAAGCTGTCTGACTGAATCAGATTATCCACAATCAAAACCCATGCAGGTGGAGGTTAGCAAGGGAGAATCCCAACCAGAATTCGGTGCAGCCGCCCGTTCAATTCTTTACGTGACTTTGGGTAGACCCTTTTTAATACCAGGTTTTGATTCTGGCTCAGATGAGGAAGTTGATACTTGCCGATCAAACAAGCACCAATGCGATGCCGTGATTTATGATCATGGTTGAGGATCGACGTAGCCAAGCATCCGCCTTCTTGAGATTCCAGGTTATCGGAAATTAACATAGGAGCAGTTCTGCTAGAAATGTATGTGTACCCTGACTTAGACCAATGAGCACAAAAGAGGCGAACGACCAGGAATGGACATTTAAGGAAGATGGAATGCAGCGAGTCAGCCTGTCAACAATAAAGGTGGCCGAAGCCTTACATCCCCTCTGAGCTTTCGCCCGTTCGCGCTTCACGTGCTTCGCAGGACCTGGTGAACAGCCTTTGGGCGTGCGCGCGTTTTGGGTACCTACCAGGAGATGAATTTATGCAGGCAGGGCGGCCAGCGGGCCGTGCTTGGAAAGATTGGCTGGAAATCACATGGCTGTGGGTCAAAACCAATGGGATCCCATTTTGGGGTAGGTGCACCACCCATTTTAGAACCTATTTTAGTGGGGATTGAATCGGATGTTCACTGGGGGTACGAGATTTTGACCCATGGCCACATAATTGGGGTCTGAAAGCTTGATAGAAAGTATGCGGCGCATCGCTGTTCCGCTTAATGCATGGTGTTCCAGCTTGTACCAAGCTCACGGCCCTGCCAGGCTTTGGTGCACGTTTGCACAAGCAGCTTGGAGCTGTTTGAGCCTATGGATGTCGCCAACCTGCTGTGGTCCTTTGCAAGGCGGGTCTTGCTGTGAGAGCGACTGGTGCCTCGTTGGCTGAGGGACGTCTCCAGACAAGAATCTGGCCAGGGGTCCAAAATCCAAAGCCCGTACCCCGAGTGAACATCCCAATCCCCACTTAGGGCCTAAAATGGGTGGTGCACCTGCCCCAAAATGGGATCCCGTTGGTTTTGACCCACAGCCATCTGTTTGCATTGCCGAAGTGTTGCTTCAGAACTCGAAATGCTGATAGCTTCTTCTTTCTATTGATAGGGGTTGTGTTTCTTACGCGAATGCACAAGGGAGCCAGTATGGCCACCCATTTGCAACTGTTGTGGTGTTCACGCGAAGAGCGGCCTGCCTTCCTCCAGAACATGACTGCTTGGAGAGGCTGTGAATCATGCGGGTTGTCATGGACTGGAGCAATGACTGTCATTGGTTTCCAACCCTGATAAGCCCTGCAAAGAGGCCGCGTCAAGGTGATCTCGGCTTCAGCGTTTGATGCCAAAAGAAACGGATCAACGTTGAAGATTCAATTCATCGCACGTGCTGGAGCCATCAGACACTGTTACACGCATGTTTAAACACCAACTGTCCTTGTGCTGGTGTTGCAGCTGTGCATGGTTGGGTGCTCTTTCGGAGCTTTTGAACTTACAAGCCTACGAACAAACAACCATGAACAGGCGCTTGAGCAGTAAGTCCATGTAAGTCCTATGAGCAACTGTCCCCTGCTCGTTTGGGGTCTCAAGGGATGTAAACGCGCGTTTCTCGAGTGTTTGCCAACTGCGTTTCGTGTGGCCTGTGCGGCATCTCGGACAGAGTTTAAGTTTAGCCTGCACGCGTTAATTTCGCACGGTACTTCACGTATATCCCGAGGCAGTCATACACCCGCTCACGCGCACCCGCTCAGCACCGCCATAAACACCCGCACACGTACATCTGCTCATCGCCGCGCTCGTGCCGGCCAAGTGGTAAGCACACCCGCTCACGCGCACTCGCTTAGCACTGCACACATGTCTGCCGCATGGGAAGGACATGCCCGCCCAATGAGAAGAAATAGCCGGAGAGGAAATGAGCCATGTTTGCTCATTCCAGATTTCAAGCAACATTGAGCCGCTGTAGCACTTTCTTCTTGGTTCACCCTGCTTATCTTGAACGCGATGATCGTTGAACTACCTAGGCTCCAGAGCAAACGCGCCGTTTTTTGTTTTTGCGGCCGAAACACGACGATTTGCATCAGTTTGTGGCATGAAGACGAGGTGCATGTCGCATGGCCTGCGTGAGAGATAGGAAGCATGCTGCGTTGTCTTCAACGCGCGTCGTCTTCATAACGGTGGAGCGTTGGGGAAGACTGGTCCCAAGTGCACCACCTGGGCCTGACGGGCGGTGAGTACTGCTCGTTCAGTGCAGGGGGCCCACCCAGTTTTCCGATGGGAGCCAAGTTGCATCATGCATCCCACTCCGTTTCTGGCCACTCCACGCCAGTTCCCCGATCTATGGTCTAGCAGTCTCACATGCATGTCTTTAGCGCAATAAGTTCAACACACAGCACACGTTTTCCGCAATTTTGGATGGGTCGGATTGCAAAGCATTGAAAAGGCATGTGTGCAAAAGCTCATAAATCTATCATTGCAGATCATGGCATAGATCAGCAGCCAGCATGCGTCGTTGGCCACAGCAAGGTCAAGTACGTTCACTGCCGCGGAATGGTTGGCAGCGTTGGTTTACGCAGACGGGCTCGGATGTTTCGAGATGGATCGGAAAGCAGGCGTCACAATTTGAAGCTCTGTTTATGCTGAGTAAGGTTTGTCGCGTATGTGCAGGATGTTCCATGTTCCACCTCAACATTTCGGAGGCCCTTGCGGCTTGCCCTGGCCCTTACAGTCCACGCGGTGCTTGAGGAAGGCAAGTTTCTAGGGGTTGATTCCTTTTCCCTTCTTTTCAACCATCGTTATTTTCAACAACCAGTTGTTCCCTGTTTTTTTTAATGGTTTCCTGAAAAGAAGGATCCCTGGAAAGAATGGGGAAGGTCCCCTAGAAAGTTGTCACTGCAGCATGGGCTTGGCAGGCTAGACTTCAATCCTGGGGAAGACTTCCTGCAAGCTGCCTGCGCCTGAGTTTCGGCCATTTGCAGGCAGAAGTGTGAAGCCTTAGCGCGCAAAACGAACAGCTCGATTATTTTGGTACAGAGCATGCTGCTGTCTAGTCCATGGGTACCTGCCTCCAGAACATGTGATTGGAACCGTGACGGAGGCTAACTTCTTCAATCAGTTGATTGGCACACGATGCTCCAGACATGTCTTATACTTGTCTCAGTCATGCTCACTTTTTGCAGATCTCTGCGATTCATTGTGGTAACTTTTGCGCGCCTGGGTGTTTTGATGCTTTGGACGGAATGCTTTCGGGCGGAGTGGTGCTTGCGCGCAGGGCCCCGTTCGGGCATTGTCACACTGTGCGCTGTGGATATTCGGACCATGGGGCATGTGAACTGGCATTCGAAAGCTCGCAGGTGGTTCAGCGTGCCCTTCAGATAGCTGACAAGTTCGAGCCTGCAGTCTGGCTGTGAATGGCGCAGACCCCGACTCGCAACGCTTGTCTTGTTCTAATTGGTCATATAGAGTTGTTTGTGGCAAAGATCATGGCTTGAACTGTTATACTGAAGAACCAAGATTCCTGAGATTTGCTCCCAATGCACTAAATGAAGCTTGCGCAGGATGTTGAGTGAGTAGTGAGTAGTGTATTCGTGTGGGGCTGACTCATTTTACTGTGAACATCCATAGGGAGAGAGAGGGAGCAAGGCTTCAAAGACGTAAAGTTAGCTGGAACATTAGCTGGAACATTTTATGAAAGTCTTGATCGGAAGCTGCTGGCAGCACATTTCAATATCCTAAGCCCCCCTACACCTATTCCTGCTCTTACAAGGCTGCACCACAGGATGTGGACGCTTTGGTTTATTGAGCAACTTGGGAATGTGTCGGAACCACTTATCCCGGATTGTGTTTGGTGACATGCTGGTCTCTTTTCTTGTAAAGTGTCCCTGTTGACGCACGAAGTGAGAGTTGCGATCTTGCCTGGCCATCTCCTGTGAAGTGTCTCTTTAGAGGGTTTGGGTTGGGGTGTTACCCGCATAGAAAGGATAGGGTAGCGCAACTTTGGGCTCCGAGCCCCATGCCCTTGGAAGACGAGACACCCAAGGTTGACATCGCGAATCTGCTGTGGGCACTTGCCAAGCTTGAGAGCTCTTGTGGCGAACAGCTGCGACCACTGCTGCAGGAAGCCGAAGCTCAAGTGTCTCGTTTCTGGGCGATGTTTGGCAATCTTGTGACTGAAAGCCAACGCATATATTTTGCGCCCCATGCGTATTTCTGAGACTTGGTGGTGCATGCTTTCAATCAGCTGTTTCCGTCCTTGGGGGGGGGGCTTCTTTGATTGCAACCGCCGTTGCGAAAGCGCGGTGCAATCGGTTGGAAGCCAAGTTGCTTTTGGCGTTGTTTGGCTTGAGCATGGCACGCTCCTAGGTTTCGAGCCTGCCAAGCTGGCCAGCCTGTTGCCGCATGGCCTAGTTATCCAGGACGACCGGCCCCAAGCTTTCTCGACCTCGCTATGCCTCTTTCTCCCGGTCTCATCCCCATCCTCGCCCCCCCCCCCCCCCCACACTACGCAGTTGTAAACGCTTCGCGTTGCCCGCCAAGGCCAGTCCGCTTTTGGCTGGCTTTGAGTATATTATACCGTGTTTTAGTTTGCCTTGAACTGTTGTGTTTGTTAGAGTGGGTGAGTCGGTGCCAAAATGAAGAACATCTGACTGGTGTTTGGGGGGGATTTTGCCGGTTTCTACCTGTTTTTAGAGGGGGGTTGACCTGTGTTCTAGATGGGAAGTTGATCGGTTTCTACAAAGGGATTTGACCGCTTTCTGCAGTTTTCAGAGGGTTTTAAGGGGAATTCAATCGGTTGGTTTGGGGGATTGCGGGTTTCTGGAGGGACTGGACCTGGAGGTGGGCCGAGGGATCACGTGGACTGGAGGCAGCTGGAGCAGGGATATTGGCCACGCGACATCCCTTCACTACTGGTTTGTTTCCCTTACAGGTCCCTTTCATTTCCAGAACCGTTTTCCTGGCATTGCCCGTTTGCATTGCAGCGTCATTCCTTTTTTTAAAACTCCCGTCATTCCTTTATTTCCCTGTCATTTTCTCGTACGTCCCTTCATTTTCCATGTACGTCTGCCGGTCATTTCCCTACATCTCTCTTCGTGTCCTTTGATTTCCTCGTCACTGTCTTTCATTCCCCTTCCTTCATTCCCCCTGCACGCCCCCTGCATTTCTCCTTCCTTCCCCCTTCATGTCCCTTTCAGTTCCCCTTCGTTTCCCTTTCGTTTCCCCTTGATTTCCTGTCATTTCCACTTCCTGTCCCCTGCATGTCCTTGAATATCCCTTTATTTCCCCTTCATGTCCCCTTCATTTTCCCTGCGCTTCCCTTGCGTTTCCCCTTCTTTCCCCATTATGTCCATGCATTTTCCTCGAGAGGAAGCCAAGATCCTGGCCCGCCCAAAATTTCGGAAACCGGTAGTTTTCAACGTTTTCGCAAAACGGAGGTCAAACAACGAGGGGTTTTTTTTAGGTTGGAAGGAGGCGGAAAACCCAACCGGCAAAGAGCCGGCAGGGGTTCCGAGCCTGGACCCTTGTTTTGCCACAGCGGCTCCCCGAAGACTATTTTTAGCAGAACGTCATCAAATTGCCGCGCGGTATATGAGGGATGCATATACCCCCCTCCCTCCCCCCCGCGTATCAACTAGGGGGTTATTCTCTATCCTCTCTTAGCTGTCCGACACGCCAAGCAATGTCAGCAATGTCTGCGGGTATATGTTATTATCTGTATTGATATGTATTTATATCGCCCTCTCAGGGCAGACGTGTTGTTTCATTTTGTTCCCTGCAGTCACAGGTGACTAATCATCAACCTCCCTTGAACGCGTACATCGGTTGCGTGAGGCCAATGTCTGGCAACTGGGAATCTTAAGTCAGTGCGTTGTTGCTGAACCCCCCCAATGTGTTCAACTCAGCTAAACGACGTTGGTTCAAAGTTTGCGCAATGTCTGCACATGGGTGAGATGCAGTTCCCCAACCATCCCACCGCTTTCAGCAAAACATGGGCCGTCCGTGCGAATAAGCACGGTGTTGCATCCGGATTGTGGAGGACCAAGCATCAAGCATCAGACAGTCAGGCGGTATGTCAAGCTATCTTGGAAAACACACACACACACACACGCGCACTTATATATGTATATGTTTTTTTTTATATATTCTACTATACTTGCTATGTTTACTATGTATACTGTGTATATGATACATACTATATATACTAAATATACTTTATATATACATATATACACACTGTGTATATATAGATATTTGTACAATATTTACTACATCTACATATTTACATATACACGTATAGAAATATATGAGATGAGGCTGAGATACTGTGAGATGAGGTGGGCCTGCAACAAGCTTCAGCTCCCGCCGGGTCTGGCACTGCTGCGAGCCCTGCCCTGCCGCAGCGACAACGAGCTCACGGAACTGCGCAGGGTCCCCACGAGTCTCATGTTTCCGGAGAAGATGGCTTGGATGGTGTAGCCTGGAGGTGTTGTTTCCCAGTTTGGCTTGGATGGTGTTTGGCGCCTGGCGTAGCCTGGAGGCAAACTTGTGCTTGTGTCCAATTCTCGTTTTTTGGGAGCCATTGTTTCTATGCAAAGGGGTCAGGTCGGTTTGTTGATTTGGAACAGTGTTGCCGTTGTGATGTTAACAAGACACTACCAGCAAGAGCTTCAACACGTGCAGTCCAGTGTCCTTCTAGGCCCTCGCGGGCTGTCCTACGTGCTTTGGGTCTATGGCCTCCTGGGCCACAATCCAGGCAAGGCGCGCGTGTCAGTCTTTGCTAGTCCCCTCTCAGAATGGAAGGCCCAAACGGTTCTAGGCTTTGATTTCCCGGAAGCTTCCCCTCTAGAACGGAAGGACTGGTCTGCAAGTTGATTGCCCTGCCTTTGCTTCTTCAGCCCTCCGCACCTGATTGCTAAAACAGCTGTTTGACACGCACCGGTCTGGCGCAGTGTGATTTTGGAATCCTCTCTTCTGAATGCAAACCTGTCGGCGTGACAGCAACTTGATGTTTTGTGCCCAAAGTCAAGAAAGAATGTATTCAAGATTATACATACATCATGCTCCGTGCTGACATTTACCTTAAACGGATTGCCTTCACATTGAGCAGTTCGAAGTCCAAGGTGTCAGGTGACTCAATGCCTTCTTCAGCTTCTGCATTCAACTGAGAAAAATCCCGGGCTCGATGCTTAGAAGGGCATTTGTTCGCAAACATCTGAAAGATAGCAGTTTAGAAGCCCTGCAATTCTGTTGCTCACCATGCACTGTCACGATTGACATGCTCACAAGTAAAGAGATGGATAGCAATGGCACCGTGCGCAGTGCGTGTCAGCTCACGTGGTAGGCATTGTAGTCATGCCTCGAAGCATGCACGAGCGTAAGACTCAAAGGAAACAAGGTTGAGCGTTGAGTCATTGCAGAGCTTTGCTTTGTGTTGAAGTGGGGGGGGCATGTACAGAGGGCTTCCAATCGATTGACAGCCCGAGAGGTCCACACGTGTTTGAGGCAGAATCAGAAGCATGTGCTGGATGAAATGGCATCATGCGCCGCTGGGTTGATGTTTTAGACACGTGTTTTGTTGGTCTCTACCCAGGCTCGCATAGGTTTCATGTTTATTTGAAGGGCTGTACCTACTCTACGTGGTGCCTTGAAAACACATCTATTTCGTGCTCTTTAAGACACCCTTTGCCAATCGCTGGTTTTTGGTACAACGATCATGTGGGCAACAATTGGCACCCTTTGTAAAGGGCACAGTCACTAGCCACAGGTCGATTCCCCAATTGCGCCCCTTAAGGGCTTTCAGCACACCCCCGCTCCCCAGCCCCGGCTCCGCATGCAGGGCGCACTTTTCTTCGGCGAGTCATGCGCAAGCTCAGCAGAACCTTGCTTGCAGCTGAGACCGGTTGTACCCTTGCAAGCTTCCTTTGCGTGCAGGCTTGAGTGTGTGTATGTGTAAAAGTAGGTGTCGGGGGATTGTTCCGGGATCGTGGCAGCGATGCTATGCGGTACCTGGCTGAGTGCTGAGAAAGTGTTTGCCAAGCCTTGTTGCAGTTTTGCAAGTTGTTTTAATCTTTATGTGAGCAGAACTACACCGCACGAAGAGGGCATCTCTTGCACTACGAGATGCCGAGAAGCTTGAAGCATTCCAGTGCAATCAGGAATTCTGAGTGTCGGGATTCAGATGTACAGCAAGGGAATACTGTTAAAAGATACATGTTGCCCATTTGAAACATGGCTTTTTCCACCAAAATAAAGGGAAACCACAAGGCAATGTTCAGGTGTATAATGTAAGGATCCCTGACTGACCCTGCGCCATTTGGGATGCAAGACCCTGGAGTTTCTATCAGGAAGTGTGCCGCCGTTTGGCTACTGCGGTGCCCAAGGCAGGCTGGGGTGAAAGGCGTCTTGAGTCAGCTCTATGTGCCTGAAGCAGGCATGAATGCATGACTTTCCACACAACAGGTCTGAAGACTTTGTTTGGATTTGGAAAGATTGAGCTCCAGGCTCTGAGTGTGATTTACCAGTTGGAAGGAAGCTAGCGAGGCGGTTCGCGCATGGCTGCAAAAAAAGTTCTTTCACGACCAGGACCATTTCTGTAGGCCTTGTCCAGGCTAGTGCTGTACCCTCAGGATCACCTCGTCATATGGCTGTGGGTCATAACCTATAACTTGAGCTAGGTGCACCACCCATTTTAGAACCTATTGTAGTGGGGATTGGGGTGTTCACTGGGGGTACGGGATTTGGCTTTTGACCCATGGCCATGTGAAACCCGGGTAGATGAAGGTTCGTTAAAAAAAAAGCAAAAAACACAACCATAAATAGCTGCAGAGATCCGGCTTCTTAGTTCTTGAAGCATGGTTCTGGGTAGACCAAATTTACCGGGTTTGGATTATGACTATGGGAATGATAGCTGGTCCTGTCCGGCCCTTGACAAGGCTCGGCTGTTGCTTGCCATGGTCGGTGTTCTCTGCAGTCGTGACTTACTGGTGGCCTCATTGCTTGAATCCTTTTGGAACTGCCAGACTCCTTTTGTGACTCTAGAAAGGCTCTTTTGGGTCCAAGTGACTCTCGCGGTCTCTAGGCCTTTCCGGTGTCCTTTGGGCCTGCGCTCGCTTCAGCTTTGACCCGGGCGACCAGCAGGCGCCAAATTTGCGAGCGTGCCGGTGCTTTGTTGGTGTGCGTGTGCTTTGCTACTCGTCATGTTCTAGAAGCGCGCATACGTGCTGAACATGTGACACCACCTATCGCCTAGCGACTTGCAAAGGAGACCATGCAGCCCTTTTCCAGGAGCAACTTTGCCAAACTTTCTTGAGCAAATGCTCCACCTTGACCTTGAAGTTGGATACAGCCTGGGGGAGTCTAAAGTGCCATCGGAACAGAGCTGGAAAGCTCGTTCACCATTCAGCTGCCTATGAGCGAGTTAGAATAACTGCACGCAAGGTTCCCACGACAAGTTGATGTGGGGCAGCAATGTTCTTGCTTTTGCCAGACAAACACAACGGAACTCATGAGAGGCGCTCTCACTCGGGAATTGAGTGAAGAGAAAGTGAGCACTCCACCTTGAACATGCCAAGTGAAAAGGCGGGGCAGTGGGGAATGGATGGGAGGCAATGAGAAAGTGTTCGAGCTTCGAGTGCACGTTTCCAGAAAGTGTTTATCCATGTGTTGCTCTATGTCGTGGTCATTTCCGTACTGCGTCATTAAGTGTTCCCCAGGTCTTTGATCTGCTGGACAGCGCCCGGCAACAGCTCCAGAGCTTCACCCCGGCACAGCTCACCCGGCTGCTGTGGGCCTGCGCCAAGCTGCCCGCTGCTTTTAGCGTGTCAGTTTTTTTTTTTTTTCTTCCTTTTTTCGAGTACCCCAGTTCGAGGTTTTTAGAGGGATTCCAAAAGGAGCACCACCATTTTTGGGGTCCCATTTGGGAAACGTACTGTCCAAGGAACAAAGCAATGGAATTTGCTGTTCTGGGAGTATGAATGCTTCAGATGTGTACACTATGCGTACAATGTTTGTCCGGCGGAAGTCTTGTGGATTTGTTGATACAGGAAGGGATGCCCAAAGCAAACAACGCCATTGCTGTAGAAGACCGCCCACGCAAATCGTCCACGCAGATCGTCCACGCAGATCGTCCATGCGGACCGTCCTATTGTGATGTGCGATAGATGAGAGGAGCCGAGAGACTGGCATAGACCTTCTCGACCCGGTCATTCAACATTTGGATTTGTGAGAGTTTTGTGGCAAATTCCATCATCATCCCAGAAGCCAAAAGGCGTTTGGTTGTGGTCGGGGGATATCAACCGCTTTCATACATCCAATAAGCCCAGGTTGCAGCGTCGCCCCAGCGGTGAGTTCCTTCAGGCGCAGAACGGATAGATTGCGAGTGGTCAACTCTGAGAGATGAAACTGACCGTTCGAACGAAGGCTCCAGCAACAGAGGCAACCAAGTGCTTCCATGCTGTGTATCTCTGGGCCGCGCGATCAACCTGACACGCCGGCCGCGGAAGGAGATGCCATGGGTAAGATATGGGCACGCCACATTGTCAGAGAAACGATTGTGATCCACCTCACCATGGTTGCCTCATCTCTTTTGAGGGTTGATGACCACCCCAAACAAGCCATGGCCCACATGAGATACTGAGCGAGTCTTCCTTCCAGGCTTCCGAGCACTTGAGGGAAGGTGGAACATGTCAGCGAATCAACTTGTACCAGAGGCCTGGCTGGAGACAGCCCGCCTGCAGCTTCATCTCTTCGAAAAGGAGGACGGACCATTTTTTTGGGCGCTGGTGAAGCCCCTGCGGCTGCTGTTCCAGCCCTTTCGTTTTTCTTCCAAACTCAGCGGAATGGAGAACAGGTGGCGCTTCACTTGTGTCCTTAGGACGTGGTTTAGCGAAGACCAACGCGTAGGAGCTGCTGCTATCCTCGCGCAGCTGCTCAAAGCTGGGCTTTATTGAGGGCGAGGAGACGTTGCCTGCGACTTTGTTGCAGGCGTTTGAGGCATGGAAGGCACGTAGCAAACCCGCATCTCAAGAAAATGGTGTCCAACATTTTGGGAAGCCGGTGTTTGAGAGGGCACTTGTGGTAAAACAGTATCATGATGCAGTTCAAAAAAAGAGCCGCACAGCTTGTATGCTAAAAGGTTATGGAGTGCTGGAGAACGTGTTGGTGTTTCTTTTGCGCGTACTTACTTGCGGGCACATTCGACAGTCCGAGTTTTCAGAGAAGGCAAGTCAACGGAACATCGCGCTTGCGTGTTTTGCCCTTGGTTTGCTCGAATCTAAGAACAGAGCGCCGTAAATATGTGTTGCCTGACGTGAATCCAAACGACACCTGCCTCGTCGAAACGCAACACAAAGCGATTCTGAAGCAGAAGCGCCTAGCCGCCAGACAGACTTAGCCTCTCAAACGCACACTTCTGCTCGTGGCGCAAGCCGCGGTGTTGTGCTGCTTCCACAGCACCCTTTCACGGTAAGTGACCACGCGTGTTCTACATGCTCTACATGCTCTACATGCTCTCCACTCGCAAAATCTGAAATGATCACCCCAGTCATTTTGATGCTAGCTTATATCAGGCGCTACAGAATGGCAACCATTTTAACTTGTGAGATTCTGTCAAGGAGCAAGACAGGTAAGCTGAGGCATGATAGGGGATTCACTTTCACAGCTGAACACCCAGCTCAACTATTGCCCTCGGCTGTCGCGCAGGAGCTGCTCAGATAAGCTCAGGCGGCTGGGAAGCAATAGCTTGATTGAAACTCAAAATATGTCAACCATCGGTTCAAACAAGCCAGGTCATGCGGGTATGGGTCAAAATGAAACCAGGGGACCGCAGGATTTAGTCCTTGGTTCCATTCACCAGGGTTCCATTTTGGGGTTACCCTATTTTTGACCCACAGCCATGCTAACATTGCGTTTGCCGCACTTCGAAGCCTTCCCAGAGCTCTTTGAAACAAACAAATCCTATGACTTGAGTCACAAAACCCATCCTTCACGAAGGCCTCAAAGAGCATCGAATCCAGCCCGAAACGGGCGAGGCTCAGAGCGGCCTCATCGCTTTTGGATCCAACAGAATTTGTGACTTTCGACTGGAGCGGGTCCATGGCTTCAAGTCAATGGCTTGTTTTGTTGTTTTCTCAACGTCACGCTGCATGTTGTCTTGTCATTTCTGTTTGGATTCATTCTGAACACCGGACAACTGGCTGACTCTCGTTCAACCAATTCGAAGCCATGGTTTTGCAGGGTCACTGAGACAACTCTGAAGACGGTTAGGCTGTCATTGTCCACCTCCACGAGGCTATTGGATTGCGCTCAAAATGCCATCCCCCCCCCCCCGAAATCCGGAGCACTTGAGCAGCTGAACATGGAGAAACCCGCGAAACAAGGATAAACCGACTCTTTTGCGCATGGCTACGTTGTACAAAAAAGTATGCAGAGGCCCAGTTGACGAGGCGCGCTGGAACTGAGGCATTTGGAGGAGCGCCAAGTGTTTCGCAAATCAGAGGCTGTGGGTCAAAACCAATGGGACCCCATTTTGGGTAGGTGAATTCACCACCCAGTTTAGGCTTCCTATCTTAGTGGTTGGATTGAATCGGATGTTCACTGGGTGTACGGCCTTTTGACCCATGGCCAAGACTTTGCTGGGGTTTTCCAAACGGCATGCCTGTGTTACCCAGAAGCGCAACGGTGGGCAGCATTGGGCCAAAGAATAGATGTTAGTTCGTCGCATTTGTCGGCGACGCTGGTAATTGCAGTTTGCACTTCTTCGGGCACATGGAACAGATGCAGTCTGGACAGAAAAGTGC